GATACAACTTACCTCTTCCACATCTAAAAAAATTAAAAACAAATTAAAACAAAATTTATATGAGCATTAGTATTAAATTGTATAAAAAATGGGATCGTTACATTGGCCTATAGTTGTGGTAACTGTTTGTTAATATGATTGGACCCTATAAAGTGACAAAGAGAGACCATTTCTATGGTTTTGTAAGTAAGTTTCTGTTCACAATTCTAAAATATGTACCCAGTTTTGCTAATTATTTTTAATGCCTTGTTTTACTTTTATAAATGCACTATTAGCAAGGCGAGGCTATAAAAAAGAACACAGACTTGAAGGTAGGAAAGTTATGTGAGTTAGCCCATGAATTGAATAACATTTTATGTGTAGCATATCCAAATTATATGTTTCAACATACTCAAAATACAAGAACCAATCGAACTTCATCATATCATAAATTTACAATTTTAAAGAAATTTACCTGGTCACAATAAATGCACAACCTTTAAATGCACAGGTAAATTTCTTTAAACTTGTAAATTTATGATATGATGAATTTCTATTGGTTCTTACATTTTAAGTATGTTGAAACATATAGTTTGGATATGCTACACATAAAATGATATTCAATTCATGGGCTAACTCACAGAACTTTCCCACTTTCAAGTCTGTGTTCTTCTTTATAGCTTCACCTTGCTAGTAGTGCATTTCTAAAAGTAAAACAAGGCATTAAAAATAATTAGCAAAACTAGGTACATATTTCATAATTGTGAACATAAACTTACTTACAAAACCATAGAAATGATCTCTCGTGACCACTTTATAGGTTCCAATCATATTAACAAGCAGTTAACACAACTATAGGCCAATATAATGTTCTTTCTACATTCTAATACTAATGCTCATATAAATTTTGTTTTAATTTGTTTTTAATTTTTTTAGGTGTGGAGGAGGCAAGTTGTATTTCTGAAGAGCTTGTTTATGTTACTTGAAGTCTTGAAGTTTCAAGTTTTTATATTCCATAATCACGTTGTTGTGGTTTATGTTGAGTAAAGGTTTTGTTGCTTGAAGTTGCAAACTTTAATATTCACTAATCATCTTGTTGTAAACCAAATACTTTATGCGGGATTTTGAGGATTTTTAGACATGTGATTTATGTTTTGCAAGCATTTTTAGGATTTTTAGACATTTTGTAACTTGTAAACCTTACTACAAGAATTCTGTGATTTTTAGGCATTTTGGTTATAAATTATGATTTATAGGGTAAAAGTTTGATGGAAAAACAGAAACTGGTTTAGCAAAACGGATTCTGGTTGCCGACTGGTATTTCCAGTTCGGTTCAGAGTTAGAACCGGACGTATACCGTTCCGGTTGTTGGTTTTCAAATTTAGCCAATTCTGATTCCGGTTAGGTCCGGACCAGTTTTGGCCCGGTGCACAGTCCTAGTTGCGTATACGCCAATCCCGGTCAGCACCACCAACATCTATCCCGAATTTCAGTCGCTAGGAAAAGAAGTAGGTAATCCAGATCGGCTCAGAGGCAAAATGTGGGTAGATGGAGGACTTTAGTGTTTGTGAGAGGGTGTGCAAGAGAACAGTGGAAGATGAAGAATTTCATCTAAAGAAACCTTATCTGATACCAGCTTACACACAATGTTGTTAAAGGATTATCAAGGGATCAGAATATCGGATCGGAGTTTTGATTGTGGGGTGAATAATGTTGGGCTACACCTAATTCTAGATAAATTTTTGTGAAAATTAGATGTTCTTGATTTTGATAGATGGATGTCTATTGCAATCAAGGTAGAATTGCAAAAACATCAATAAATTAGTTCTCTCTAAGGGAAATTTTGTATGTTTCGGCGAAGAGCACCCAAAATCAAATTTAAAGAGTTGAGAAGATGTAAATTACTATTAGGCACATGATTTTTGGGTAGACGGTTTTCTTAAATGGGATAACTCATATTTTGGGTTTTCATCATTATTGAAAATTAATGAGAATAAAAATTTGATTTAAATGAATTTAATATAAAGAATAACGAACAACCAACATGTTCTATAAAGAAATTTTTGAAAAATTGTAAAGCTCATGTAGGATTTTATTATTGATAATTGTTTACAAGTAATGGTATTAGTAGTTCTGCTTTAATTGGAATAAAAAAGTTGGTGTTTCATATTTCTTTTTCCTTGAGTACGTAATTTTTATGTAATTTGTTTGACCGTGCATCGCACGGGTGAGCTACTAGTTACTCAATAATAAAATAACAGTCTTATATTATAGGGTTATTTTAATTGCTATTGTTCTGTAATTACTCCGTAATGAAACGACAGTCCTACCAGTCACTTGATTGGTTCAAATCATTATATCATTTTTCATTTAGATTTATATAATTCAACTACATCATTCTGATTGGTCCATATGAACAAAGGTATGATACTTTAAGGGTACCATAGAATCTATCTTATTTTAATTGTTATTGCTCTATATTTACTCCATAACAAAATAACAGTCCTATTATAGGGTTATTTTAATTGTTATTGTTCTGTAATTACTCCGTACTAATTGCTAGACCTGAAATTCTTTTTTCTATTGTGTGTGTTTTGGTTTATCATTTATGTATATCAGTATATGTAATCATTCTCCCGTGAGTAGGGTGGGATCGGTCCGGTCCAGGTCGGGTTTTGCTAAACTCGGAAATTACCCGCAAGGTCTCGGGTTATGAAAATTAGAGATCGAATCAAAGCCCACTATATTCAGTCCGAGTCAGTTTTTTGTAATCCGAGTTCGGTCCGGGTTCGGGTTGGACCGGTTAAAGCCCGAATGTGAAATCATCTCATTTTTCTTTTATATCTTAAAATCTATTTTCAAATAAAATTAATCAAAGTACAAACTGCAAATAATAACACAAATATTAATCTCCAAAATCACCAGGAATTCAAATCTAGAGAAGACACATAAAAATGAATAATATTGGTTTTCTAAAAATGTTAGGAGATAAAATTATGGATAAAAATGTGACTAAAGTTACTATAAATTTGTTTTCATGGGCATAAAGGTAAATAAATTGAACATATTTGTAGTCACTAAAAGTTATTAAGTTATTTTTTCGTCCACCATGATTATAATCATGTACTCCATATTAATATATAATTTATAAATTATATTTGTATATTATATTGATTTTATATTAAAGCTAATTGTCTCGGGTTTTTATCGGTCCGGGTCGGGTTATAGATTTTAGGGCCCGTTAATGAGCCCAAATTTTCGGGTTCGGTTCGATTTTTTTTATTCGATCCGGTCTAAAAGAAAAAACCTGGACCGATATCATAACTCGGTCCGGGCCAGGGTCAGTTTCCGGGTTTCGGGTTGGGTTTTCCCACCCCTACCCGTGAGTCCCTTCTCATTTGACTAAACTACCACTACAAAAAACTTCGAGTTCGTCACGGATTTTGTCACAGATTTCAGTTCAAAAAATCTGTGACAAAAAAAAAACACGGACTTTGTCACGGTTTTATCCGTGACAAAAAATGCGTGACTAAAAAGTTTGTCACAGTCAATATTCCGTGACAAACTTTGTCACGGCCACCATCCGTGACAAAACAGGGAATCGGAGCAATGCCGGTATTTATTTGTCACGGACTTGTCCGTGACAAACGTTTCTCTATTTTTTTAAATACTTCATTTTGTCACGGATTTATCTGTGACAAATGTTTTTTTTGAATTTATTTGAAATATCCGAAATGGGCTTGGCGGGTAACTTGAAATTTTTTGAATTCAAATATTTTCATTTTGTCACGAATTTATCCGTGACAAATATTTTTTTGAAATATCCGAAATGGGTTAGGCGTGTAACTTGAAATTTTTTAATTTCAAATATTTTTATTTTTGTCACGAATTCATCCGTGACAAAAAAAAATTATTTAAAAAAAATATTTTTTTGTTACGGAATAATTAGAATAATTTTTTGAAAAAATTTAAAAAGTTGAAAATTTGTCACGGCCAGAGTCCGTTACAAACATTTTATATTATAAAAAAAATTATGGAAGTTTTTTTATAAAAATTCACATTTAAAAACTTCGTTTAATTTTTTTATAATAATTAAATTTTTATAATAATTATTTTGTTTATAATAATTAATTACCACAAAAACAATTCATACAATCACATAATGATTAAACATACATAATGATTAAACATTAATAACTATAATCATTAGAAATTCATACGATAACAATAATTTAATAAATATTCAATTTCAAATTTCAAATAAACTACTCCCTCCGTCCCGTTGGAATGTTCCCGTTCACTATTCATTGGTCAACTTAGGTCACTCCTAATCTTTTACTTTATATATCAAATTTTTATCAAATTGAACTTTTCTTGATCAGGCTTTGTAGCGGTTTTAATGTAGTTTCTGAATATGTAAATTTTGTTTACTAAAAATAAGCGGAGTGTGAACATGGATCGAGTTGCTTTATCGTCAGTCAAACATCGTAAACTGAACGGGAACATTCCAACGGGATGGAGGGAGTAATTATTACAACTCCAGATTGACATCATCATCATTGTCAAATTATCCAACTTTTTAACGTTATTTTTCTACGTTGTTTGCCCGACCTCGATACCTCATATGCTCTCAAATAGCAAAGACTGCGGTGGGCTCTAATCATCAAATTATCCAACTTTTCCTCAACAAATGCCCTTAGGTGGCATAGATTCTTAAACTCATGAAATAGGAATTATGTGGTCTTCATGAACATCATCACCAAACAATGGTAGAATGACCCTCACATCCTCTAGTTCAAAATGCATCACAAACACATACTTTCCTCGCTTAAATGTACCGTGAAAATTCAAGGCACCTACTCTTAACTCAATATCACTCTGCATGAAGGCATCCCAACTCTTATAATCACTACTCTCATTAATATCTTCCAACAAGTTGTGATCATTCTCCATACAAAAAGAAACATCATCACCAAGGAATGAATCAAAGAAATCCAAATATGGAATTGCGTAAGAGTGGATCGCTGCATGTGTAAAAGATGAGTAATCTTGCATGTGGAGCGGGAATTCTTCATTATGATCATCATTCTTCTCTCTACCTCTCTCTCATATCTCGTGATTATCTCCTCTCAACTCATCTTCAATTCTCAAACCTACTTTAGTGGCTTCATCAATGTCATTACTGATCTGCTCCATGTCCTCGTCAGGGGTTGAGACTAATGGTAAATCAAACGGCCGGAGAGTTTATATATGAAAATCACACTGATCTGTGTCTCCATTTGTTTCAGCTCGTACCGTTTGAAACTTTAGCACGTATTGCATGAATTCTTGGAACACAGACTCGAGACTATTCTCTTTTTGTTGAAGTTCAAAGAGAGCCAGGACTTCAAAAGCATTCGGAAGTGTATAATCCATCATATTCCTAGCATCACAATCTGACTCACTCCCATGATCATCCTTATTGGTCTCCTCAGGTCGGGCTTCTGCCGGCTGACCCGCCATGTTGATTAGATTCTGCATTTGGGCTGTGAACTGCATGAGTGTCTCTTCCAAGTCAGGCAGCCTCTCTGAAAAATGTCTCCTTAAATTGATTTTGTGGCTCATTACTCGGCAAGGATGTAGGAATAGCTGAAACATTTGTGTTCCTAACTTGTGTGGAGGACAAAGTGGGGTATGCAGTTGCCTGTGTAGAACATGCCTTAAAATTTCAATATGAGTTAAACACCAAAGTTTCTTATTTTTTTGTCCAAAAAATCCTACTTTTCCAATTGAAATCCCAACATTAAACATCTGCATTTGAAGAACTTTGCTAAGGCATTAAGTTGATTAAATGCAAAAACAGAAAAACACTATTTCAATAAAAACGAAATGCAATACTTCAATCTACGACGAGGCCGGCCTTTCGCTTGACAGATAGGTGCGAACTCAGTAGACGCTAATTTCTTCCTTTAGCAGACGCCCCTATTTTCCCAGGCCAGTTTCTTCCTTTAGCAGGCGCCGGCAATTTCTTGAAGACTTGCCCTAGTTTCGACTGTTCTGTCTCTCGCATGGTTTCTTTCGTTAAAGAGAGAAGGGCGTATGATTTGGGGAAGGAAGGGCCTCTTTGCAATATTAGACGTTTTAAAAAAATGTGAGGTGGATTACACAACGAATCAGACTATGCAATCATAACATCCTCCAAAGCTCTGGAACGCACCAAAACATCCCCAAAGCAAATGCACCATAAAATTTTCAAAAATAATTGGGAGGAATTAAAAATGCATTGGAGTTTTTTTCTCCCAGCAACCTATTTCACAGAGTTTTTCTTCAAATCTAACCTATAAAGTACATTGATTTCATGTATATGTGTGTATTTTTTTATCTAATTCTCTAATATATAAGTATATATGTATTTTTTTAAAATAAATATACATTTTCGTATGCATATATAGCTAGGTATGTATGTTAATTTATACTCCGTATATCCGATGGGCACTTTTGAAATGCAAAGATGAAAGCTTTCAAATACTGAAATACTGCCTAAGAAACAAGCCAGGGCAGCCATTTACTATATACCGTATACGAGTAATGGAGTATAATTAATTATTATTGTTTTAATTAATATAATATTCCACTTCGACAATTAATTAGGTGGTAAGACTATGTGCATTGGAGTCATTTTTATATGTCATTGTCCAGTCATTCCACTTTTTTTTTGAGATCATTCCACTTTAATTTTTTTTTATCATCAACTCCAGACATTCTTATTAATTCAAACGATCAGTAGCCAAAAGGTCTAGCAATACAACTAGGAGCCACATCATAGCTACTATGTTGATATGGGAGATTTAGGTGTCCTTTTACTATTGTGTGAGTCACACTGTTCACATATCATTCCACTTTAATTAAAAAGCCTATTAATAATTTGACATTTGACATAATTTATTTAGTGTTGTTATTAAGACACCTAAGTGCCTAACTGAGACTATGAATTTGAATTTTAGAATTTACATAAATCAATTAAGTGATTAATTAGGCACGGAAGCTTACTTGTTTGAGATAGCATTGATTTATTTCCGATTTATGTGAACTTAATTAACAATGTCGGGAAACTTATCAACAAGCACCAGTGGTCTAGTGGTAGAATAGTACCCTGCCACGGTACAGACCCGGGTTCGATTCCCGGCTGGTGCATCTTCAATCGGGTTTGCAATGATTTGAATTTCACGCTCCATGGGTGATTGGGTCACTCGTCATCCTTTCAGTGGATCTAAATTAGCGTGTCTGAGCTCCTGATTGTTCTTTTTGTCTGTACCCGTTTCTAACAGCCAAAGCAATAAACAGTGGTTGTACTATACGCCCTCAACAATTGTTACCGACAATAAGCAGTGGTTCTCCTTTCTCTTTTCCGACACCATCTCTCATATAGAGAACAAATTTGCTTATATTCTTTTTATTTTTAACATTTGACATGAATGTGAATTTTTTTGACATCGTGACATTTTCCCCTACATTTTGATAATGTCTAATATTGTGATTGTGATGTTATTAATTTTCCCAATAATTATAATGACAATGTCTAGTATTGATACTGATACATTATGGGGTATTCAAACATATAATTAATGGAGAGTTGAGCTACTAAGTGGAGAAAAAGATGAATAGTAGAAATGAGTATGAATTTTAAATTAGGGTTCACAAGCTCCCAAGGGGAATATATATAGAAAAATCTGGGTTTAGGCCTCTAATATGGGTTACATTGAAAGACTAATAATATAAAAAGCTAATTTAGAACACCTGAATTAAAATGATAATGTACAATAATGGAATGTTATCAATTGAGCGTACATTGGCCGTTGTTCGGGCTCAACAGTTATGAGACCGACCGGTGATTCGAGTCTAGGGGTGGGAAAAATACCGAAAAATCGGTATAACGCACTTACCGTACCGGAAAATATCGGAAAATATCGAAATATTGGTATACCGTCATTTTAAGTACGGTAACATACCATACCGATTTATTTCGGTATGGTAATGATAAATGTTTCAATAATGATAATGTACAATAATGGAATGTTATCAATTGAGCGTACATTGGCCGCTGTTCGGGCTCAACAGTTATGAGACCGACCGGTGATTCGAGTCTAGGGGTGGGAAAAATACCGAAAAATCGGTATAACGCACTTACCGTACCGAAAAATATCGGAAAATGCCGAAATATTGGTATACCGTCATTTTAAGTACGGTATATACCGTCATTTTAAGTAAGGTATCATACCGTACCGATTTATTTCGGTTTGGTAATGATAAATGTTTCAATAATGATAATGTATAATAATGGAATGTTATCAATTGAGCGTACATTGCCGCTGTTCGGGCTCAACAGTTATGAGACCGACCGGTGATTCGAGTCTAGGGGTGGGAAAAAATACCAAAAAATCGGTATAACGCACTTACTGTACCGAAAAATATCGGAAAATACCGAAATATTGGTATACCGTCATTTTAAGTACGGTATATACCGTCATTTTAAGTACGGTATCATACCGTACCGATTTATTTCGGTATGGTAATGATAAATGGTTTCAAATACTGTGTCATACCGGTATAATACCGTACCGGCCCCCTACCCAACAATTACTTTAAATTCTAAAATATTGTAAAAGTTCATTACATTTTTGAAGCCCAAAATTAATACTTAGGTTGATTACAAATACTAGAATACAAAAATAAAGGCCCAATTTCTCAAACCCACTAGAACCTTCTAGGCTTGTACTACTTAACATTCAAACAAACTAACCCTAATGAAAAATGAGTAATGTACCAATGTCCAAAAACCAGTGCATCTTCGCGATGACTGAGCCGCTAATTGCGGACGAGTGAAGAGGGATACGCTTATGTGACGAGTGTATCTACATAAGGATTTCGCGAGTCAAGGCACACAATTTTGTCCCAAAGTATTATTCAAATATTTTTTTAAAACTATAAAAATGACTAAATACACAATATCATATTAGGGATAACTGATTTTATATCCATGGTGTTTGAATAATTTTATTTATTTTTGTTAGATATCACTATTCATTTAATTATATCTATATTGTTCAAGTTATTTAGAAGAATGTGTTATTTTTTAGTATGTGGCATGTTGAACTGTTTAAATATACTAATAATAATAATTATTATTGTTCACTATTGAATATGGCATCAATTGATTATTAATTATATTTTATAACATTCTAATAATGGATTAAGTATGTCGTCAGTAACACCGATTTAGTATATTCTGTTAGTCTATTCAAATGAAGTTTTAAAATGGAAATAAACAAAATAAGTTTATTTTGTGAACTTATGGATAATATGTACCTTTTAGTTGATGCATTGTAAATGAAGTTTGAACAATAGCTTTAGAACTCAAAATTATCTTTGCAATGAGATATAATACGCTCTAAACGGAAGAACACACAGCAAGATATGAGTGTCACAAATGCTTAGGCTTATATCTGTGATTTAGCGTTTTCAGCGTAAATAGAGCACTTTTAGCATACATACAGTCTTGTTTTAGAAATTAGTCAACCATCCCTTGATATTTCGAAATCAAAATTTGAAGACGAGTTTTAGAATTCGATAAGATCTTTCCAATGAGATAGAAAAAGCTTTCAACGGAACAAAATAGAGAAAGATATGATCAGATCAAATTCTACATGAGTTCAAAGTGAAATCAGAAATATATGTGAATTTATGGATAATCTGTACCTTTTACTTAATGCATTGTAAATGAAGTTTGAACAATAGATTTAGAACTCAAAATTATCTTTCCAAGAAGATACAATACGCTCTAAATGGAAGAACACACAAAAAGATATGAGTGTCACAAAAACTTAGCCTTATCTCTGCTATTTAGCGTTTTGAGCGTAAATAAAGCACTTTTAGCGTAAATACAGTCTTGATGGAGTATATGGGTCTGAGCCCCAGGACCCACATACTCGGAAGAACAGAAAGCACAAGACAACGGAGTGGCGCCCTCGTCGGCCAAGACGCCCCCGTCGACCGAGAAGAAGCCAACTCGGATTGTGGTCCTGAGTCCAAGGAACCCGAGTGCCCTCGTCGGCCGTGCCCTCGTCGGCCGTGCCCTCGTCGGCCGCGCCCTCGTCGGCCACGAAGACCTCCCAGAATCGGATTCTATACTTGCTCATTTGTACAGCCCATTAGAGGCTTTGTATCCGGCCCAGTAGCGGTCCAGTTGTAAATGGGCCTCCCAAGCCCAAGGCTTGGGAGCCCAACCATAATTTTCTCTATAAATACTCCCCTTGGGAGTAGTTATAGGGGTTACGAATTCATTCTATTGAAGCATATTATTGCACTTCTCTCTCTAGCTCTCACTTCTCTCTAGAATCTAGGAGATATACTCTATCATTTGGTGCTCTCGTTGAGAGCTAGAACAATCAAGTTAGCACCCTTCGTCGCTACCAAGCACAGCTAACCACTGATCATGGGGAGAACTAAGTCAAACCGCAACCTCGTCAGCAAAGTCATCCCGGAGGACCAAGAGCCCAGGGAGCACAATGAGGACGCCACGGCCGACCAGGTCGGCGGAGGGGACCTCTTCCAGGAGGCCTTCAACCTCACGACGGACCTCCGCAACCAACTCAACGGCGGAGTCCCCGACGCCCGCCTCGGCTTGGAAAAGAAACGAGCTGAGAAAGCGGACAACGCCCCGGACCAGCCTATGGCCGCGGCCTCTCCGTCCGTAGATCCTCAGGTCCAGGCCGCACTATCGGCTATCATCGCCAGCTTGGCTCAGAATCCCACCGTCCTCAGCGCACTCCTGCCAAGGACCGGGGGAAACGTCACTCCACCTCCTCATCCCCAACTGTTGGCCGTCCAGATAGGCAACAATGAGGGGGTTGTGGCCCAGGACACGGCATCGTCCCACTCCCACCCTGCTTCCCCTCTTCGGCCCGGGCAGACCCCAGCGCGTGGAAAAGCCTCTGCCTTCAATAGGCTGGGTGACACGCGCCGTCGTCCGGTTTCGGAGAGGATGGCGGGGCGGATTGGTGATCCACGTCCTGGTTCGCCAAGGGAGAGTTTGGGGTCTGTGTCCCGGACAGCGGACCAGCCCCGCCCGGACAAG